ATGGATCTACATTGAATCAAATTTGTATGTAAAGCTTTCTGCGGAAAGGAAATTTTGGCTAGACTTGCACTGCAATCTGTGAATCAAAACGCTTATCTCATGGGAAACCTTGTACTACACTATAACCCAAAGGGTTTTTTAAGTCGGAAAAAGTACGAATCTGCAAGAGATGACTTCGCAAATTTCCTACTTTAGCTCTTCTTTGTCTCTCAGCACTAATGTTCATATTTCTAAGTAGTTGAATTTATGGACTATTGCTAGTAGGATATTTTTCACCCATTTTTTCTTGCTAGCTAGCGCCATTTCAGTAATTCTTGACTCACAAACTCAAAATCGCGTTTGAGATGCCGTCTTTGAGGTTCGGTTCTGCAAGATTAGTCAAAAGATAGCTTCTGAGTAATTACATTAACAAAATCTTTTTTGTTTTGAAATACAAATGATGAATTTGGTTTTGGTCGATGATTTGAAGAGTTAACAAACTTTGTTTAATTTACATAGAATTTTCGCATCGACCTGATATTTGAAAGCATTTGAGTTTGTTAGCGAAAATTTTGGTGAATTTAACTTTCTTCCATGATTTTTATATCGTTTGTATAAGTTTAGAAAGAAACACTTATTTCCGACTTCATAAAAGACATGAAACCTTTTTCACTAACTTGCCATCTTAGAATGGGCTAAGGAACACATTTTCAAAAATCGCCATCAAAAATGTGCAAAAAGGTCAAAAATGGGCTTAGTCCCACCTCACCTTGCTGCTGGGAGTAAAATTGGCTTTCAAGTCCATTTAAAATGGAGGTAAATCCCATTTTGCCCCATTCTAAATAGACTTTTCGCATGATTTTGATTTTCGCAAGCGAGAGCTCAAGTAGGGTTGAATCATTTTCATCACACCGCTTTGCCTCCTGGTTGCGATGAGAGAAATTTTTTTGGATAAAGCTGGCGAAAGCAGTTCCGACCAATTTTTGCGGCGAACGAATAAAATGGGGTTTGGAAGTCCATTTTCCTCCATTATGGACTTTCGTGGATATCATTCCTTTCTTCCATTTTTCTTCCACGCTGTCGCTTTGCGAAGCTGTAGTTCAACAATACGCTGTTGCCACCACTTTGACAGCCTTAGACTAAACATCGATCACGTTTCATCACTACAGTAGGAAGAACGAACTTTGCAGAAATACAGTTGAACTTAATGTGCAAATTTTGAATTGGGACAGTATCCTGGGGGCCAGACCTATTTGGAATTAGGTGTATTTTCAACTTTTGAGTGAAGCATCCGCGAAAAATATAGAATACACTTTTCTTGCTTGGCTTCTTTTCATAAATTGCTGTCTTAGGATGGTGTAGAAACCGAGAGCGGGGAGAAAGAAAGCGAACTAAAGCTTTCGGAATAGGACACTACCAGGTTACGGTACGGTTGACGGCGCGTGACTAAGTTTGCAGTCCATTTTCGTACTTGTACTTAGATCAAACTGAACTACATTCAGTGCATAATTGTGGATAATGCAGTGATGGATGCCTATGGCAGAGATAGGACGCGAATACATCTAGATAATTGCCCCGTGATGATAAAAAGAGGCTTCATCAAAAATTGTCCAACTGAGTGCATACCAAGACTAGGGACGCTTGTTAAATTGAGTGAATATAGGCAGAGATAGAGATAGATAGAGATAGAGATAAGAGGAGAGATAACGGGAAGAAAGAAGAAGAAGAAAATAAAACAGCCAAAAGGCGTCCCATAACTTTTGAAAAAGGATAGAAGAGCAAAAGATGTGAACTATAACATCTGAGAAAACAACATATTTGAGTGCTTACCTTCTTTTCTCTCAGTTGATCCAGCGAACAGCTTCTTCGATGTACAACTTAAACGCTGCGCTTGCAAGCCATCGTAGGCTGCTTCTCTCAACTTGCTGTTTGTACCTGAAAAAGGAAAGTTCACTACAAACAACTAATAAAAGAGACATGAACTTACCTCCAAACGAAATCCTAAAGCGCGGCGTTGTGTATTCCACACCCGCTTCCTCAAGCGCGCGCCCTCGAAGCGTGGTCCCTCGCCGATCGGCTGGCTAGCACGACATTGTTCGCGGGAACTTTCCAATTAGTGTAGTTCACGGAAACTTTGCTACCTTTGCCAAAGTTCCCGCGCGCTTCTCCCGGAACTTTGGATCCGCGGCTCCCTTGACGTCATAAATCACGGGAACTTTGTAGTTTCTATACCCCAATGGTTAACAAGGTCCTCCGGAACTTCAACAGTTTTCGAATGTTCGCCGGAACTTCCCGGCGTTTGTCCGAGATTATGTCACTTCACGTCCCATAAGTTACTTACAAGTAACTTGCGGGAAGGTACACACCCGCGAGGCCATTTCGAGACGGACGCTGCTCTTACTGAAGTCAGGTGAGAGAGCAGCACCTGCCCCGATGCTCACTGACAAGTCACGAAGCATTCTCATAGCACGAAGGATTGCTTGCTACAAGCCTCAAAATTTTCGCAAAGACCCTTAGTTCAGATCATCTAAACTGGCCGAGCGTTACTGCGGGCTTGCAAAACTCCTCCTCTTTTACTATATAGGACGGTGTTCCAGCTCAGTAGCACGTCCTTCTGTCCAGTCTTTCTTTCATCTAAATCAAAGACGTAGTATTGATGTGCTTTAATTAGAGCAATCTCTAATCAGTTATAATTAAGAATTCGACAGATCCCTTCTATTGAACCACTATTTCGAAACTGAACAGACTTATTCAGTGGTAAAAACTCAATCGCCTTTACAATAAATGGGTTTGCGGTTTTTACATGATTTTTGGAGGTAACAGTAAGCGCCGAACTCAGGGCCCGGCACAAGGTGGGCAAATGACAAGCTGGAAATCGTTTTGCCAAATAGCAAAGGGGATATCGTTTTTGCGGGATCCGGGCGGAGCCCCGGAAGAAATTCCAATGAAGCAAAAGAAAGTCGAATCATGCTTACCTTATACATCTAATTCATCGGAAAATAGTTATCATAAACCTCAACGCACAGCAGACTTCGCGCGCAATACGCCGCGTTGCCGCTAATTGCCGCGTGCGCGACGTCGCATGAGCGATGCCGTTGAGCAGCATGATTACATGATCAGTTCTCAATGCAGGCGTAATGATATAGCACCAAATTACGTAAGCGAACAAAGAGAGGCTAGTAGAAACAAAGCATGAAATGTTATGAAAAACTTATGTGAATGGGAGGTGTAATAAGCATTTTTTCCAAAAATTTCGCAAAACTGGTAAATGAAGATGTGAATTCAAATGGCTCGTTTGCAGCGCACAGATGACCATACGGTATGAAACTTGGTAGGTACATGAACACGGGCCTGGAGGGCTTATCTTAGAAGTTTCATTGAAAAATTATGTGAATGAAGGTTGTGGCGAGCTTTTTTCTGAAAATTTCCCACTATCAAGAAAATGGAGAAATGGCTCGTTTGCAGCGCAGAGAAAACGAAATCGCGCGAGACTTGGTGTGTATACGCGCATTAGGACTAAGGAACAATGTATGAAAAATTATGAAAAACTTATGTGAATGAAGAGCGTGCTTAACTTTTTTCCAAATTAGGTGGGCAATTGCCCACCTAATGCCCACCTGAGGTATGTGGTGAGATTTTGGTATATGAACTCCTCCTCTTGTCTTTGTTAGAGCCCAAAATCGCATCAGCAGCCTAGCTTTCTAAGATGGAAAGCGCGCCCCAGTCAATCGATACGCGCGGGAACGGCGTCTCTCAGTCCTATGACTGCTTTCCTGAAATATTTTTCCATTCCTTCATCATTTTCCTTGCTTATTCTTCTTCCTGTTTTCTATCTTGATACAGGTAAGGAGTAATTAGAAGAATTTGAGCATTTTGGGCGCTTTTGAGCGCTTTTAGGCCGGTGTGGCCGGTGCTCTCGTTCCACAAGCACAAAGCGTCATTTTTGGGCTCAAGGGGGTATTCGTAAAAACTATTGGGGTCAGGGGAATTCGCTTTGGAGAACCCCGTCTGCCCACCTCGTGCCGGGCCCTGGTGAGAGGCCTCCAATCTCGACGTATGCCTAGCTAAGATCAAATAAATTCAGATGCTTGGTTTTTGGCTATTTTCATAATGTTAGCAATTCTCTGTTGCCCTCGACGACGATTATCGCGGTAAACAAGACACATCGGAAACAACTCGCCATGAATGCTGTCTCATTCTTTGCACTTACGAACAATACAAATTTCACAGAAATCGGTCACTTTTCTTCAGCTCTGTAGAGCACACCAATACTACGTCTTTGATTAGACTGGACAGAAGGACGTGCTAGACTGAGCTGGAACCCCGTCCTATATAGCAAAAGAGGTGGAGTTTTGCAAAGGCCCGCAGTAACGCTCGGCCAGTTCAGATGATCTGAACTGAGGGTCTTTGCGAAAATTTTGAGGCTTGTAGCAAGCAATCCCTCGTGCTATGAGAATGCTTCGTGGCTTGTCAGTGAGCATCGGGGCAGGTGCTGCTCTCTCACCTGACTTCAGTAAGAGCAGCGTCCGTCTCGAGATGGTCTCGCGGGTGTGTACCTAAGGAAAAATCCCGCAAGTTACTTGTGAGTAACTTACGGGACGTGAAGTGACATAATCTCGGACAAACGCCGGGAAGTTCCGGCGAACATTCGAAAACTGTTGAAGTTCCGGAGGACCTTGTTAACCATTGGGGTATAGAAACTACAAAGTTCCCGTGATTTATGACGTCAAGGGAGCCGCGGATCCAAAGTTCCGGAGGAAGCGCGTGGGAACTTTGGCAAAGGTAGCAAAGTTTCCGTGAACTACACTAAATAGAAAGTTCCCGCGAACAATGTCGTGCTAGCCAGCCGATCGGCGCGGGACCACGCTTCGAGGGCGCGCGCTTGAGGAAGCGGATGTGGAATACACAACGCCGCGCTTTAGGATTTCGTTTGGAGATAAGTTCATGTCTCTTTTATCAGTTGTTTGTAGTGAACTTTCCTTTTTCAGGTACAAACAGCAAGTTGAGAGAAGCAGTCTACGATGGCTTGCAAGCGCAGTGTTCAAGTTTTACATCGGAGAAGCTGTTCGCTGGATCAACTGAGAGAAAAGAAGGTAAGCACTCAAATATGTTGTTTTCTCAGATGTTGTAGTTCACATCTTTTGCTCTTCTATCCTTTTTCAAAAGTTATGGGACGCCTTTTGGCTGTTTTATTTTCTTCTTCTTCTTTCTTCCTGCTATCTCTCCTCTTATCTCTATCTTTTTGTTATCATTCCTCTTCCTTGAAAGGGAAGTGAAGTGTGACTGCGTAAAGCTCAACATGGCAGAAGTCACCACATTTTGCAACGAAATACTTGGAGATCGTGCTTATACTTACTGAAACACAATCTACTAGAATGCGCTTCAAAGCGCTAGCCTCAAACCAATTTCGCTAATGCTTTGCTGATACACTTTCTGAACTAAATTATGAGCTTCTTTTCGCATTAGTTTTGCAAGTGGGCGCACTTGAAATAGTTGAAACTGAAGTTTTGAATCAAACTCAATTCAAACAGATTATCCTCGCCTACCATAATATTTTTTGCTTGTAATGGTGTTTTTATCAAATCGGGAAGTTGAGTGCAAATTTTGATGGTAGAAGCGTCACAACGTTTCATTGGAGAACCGCTCAGCATTATTGAAGACGGATTGGGAATTAGCGTTCCAAGGCGCATTAAAGACGTGCCCCACTTTTATTTCATTTGCAAATATGCTCATTTCATCTCCTCTTGGCCTAAAAAGTAATACAGTCTTCTGAAAACTTAAAAAGATGCTTATGGTTTGTGAGCACATTGTCTTCCAAATCAGCTTTTGGTGTCTTCGTCATTGCCAACAATCTCACTAACGCTACTCAATCTACCATATATTTCTTGCGACGTTGCCACAGGATTAAATTGATGCGCTTTACACCCTTCTATGACAGTTGTTCCCATTAATTCAAAGACATTGGAGAATCACCGTTTTTTTGGATTTCCAGAGTAAGGGCATAAAATTCATAAAAAGATCGTTCCTGCACCAATCACAATAGCATTGAAGGTTTGCAAGAACACAGCGGTCTTCTAGCAATATGCCACATTGTCAGTGCCGGTCCTTGCAGAGAATGAAAATCTACATACTTAACTGATGAAAGAAAGTGAGGTTCATTAACTGTTTCTAAATGAAAGGAAAAACAGTAAATTGTGTAAGGCCTCGGCGGAGTTCAGGGGTTTCATTGCCTCGCGATTCTCCAACAGGACAACAGTTACGATTCTGTTACATGCCGGCCATCTTGCATTTCGGTGTAATAGTTTTTCCACACGACTAATCATGAATAACTATCACAACCGAAATGTAAAAAGATCGGCATGCAATGGACTCGTAACTGTTGTCTTGTTTAGATAATCGCGAGGCGATAAAATCGCTTGAACTCTGCCTGAGGCCTAGGTTTGCATGGATGGGATGACTAAGCATTGGAAGACATGGGTCCCACTCATTCGTGCTAAGTCATTCCCTAAAGCATGATTCTTCCTCGGCACAAAAGATTATCGGAGGCAGCACTACAGATGGCCTGACTTCAGCGCGCAACATATAAGACGATTTCTTCTGCCACAAACGCGAAATTCCTTCAAATCCGCTTACCATAAAGAGTGACCAATGAGAGGTCAAGTAACTTGTTCTCATCGCTCAATATATAAGGAGTGTATCACTTTGCTCTTTACTTTATTGTCATAGAACATGTACATCGTTCTAGTTCTGCTCTTGTTGGTCTACGCAGTCGTGCCACAAGAGCAAAGTGATACACTCCATGCTCCTTCGCAGCTATCGCTTGTTAATTTCAATTTCGTGAGCAATTGCGAGTTAGGGCACTGGGCCCTGGTAAGTTTCACCATCTTGACGATATTCTGCTCAAAAATTTCATGCTTTTCAGAGATACAACCACTACGGATGCTGGTGCGGCCCAGGTGGTTCCGGTAAACCAATCGACGGTATTGACACGTAAGTAAAACTACCAATCCCAAATTCGCAGTCATATTCATGAAAGGTCACTTCTAGGTGCTGCATGCATCATGACCTTTGCTACGATGAAGCTGTGAAAAGCGGTGTATGCAGCAAAATCGGGTCGTACCTCCGGCACTACGGCTGGGATTGTGTCAAGGAGAGGAATGAGAAGCATGCCAAATGTAGAGGTGAGTGATATCGGGCACTGCACGCATTCTCAGATTTTTCTTTTCGGGAAATACGCCGCCCTGCTCTGATTATCGCACTTCTCCCACTCAAAGGCAGCGGCTCGGCAGAATGGCAACTTTGGGATATTCATCGTTCTTGGCTTCCCCTGAATGAGCTAAGTCCAAGACTATGCTTTGTAGCCAAAAGATAACAATAACCCGCTTTTCCAGACGTGAAAAGTGCTGTTTGGGCGGGCCGCGAAAGTGGCTGGTGCAGCCAACAATCCAATTGCCTCCGGGATGGGTACGGTATCTCCACTCATGAGCCAATCGCGCTCTAGAGGGCAAGCATACGCCGTCCGCCCATATAGCAGTTTTCACGTATGGAAAAGCAGGTTATTGATATAATTTGAAGCTGCAAAGCACAGTCTTGGACGCTCGTCCAGGAGAGCCGAGAACAATAAATATTCCAAAGTTGTCATTCTGCCGAGCGGCTGTTTATAAGTATCCAAGGCGTGAAAAGGAGGAGTAAGAAATAGAAGCTGGAAGATATCATAAGCTCATAGCTATTTGTGCCTCCAAAAAAGTTGAACGGGTCGCACAAAGCAGATTGAATGGTTTTGCATGTCAAGATTTGTAAGCTCATCAAATGCTAAAAATATTAGGTGAGGTGACGTAAAAAAGTAAAATGACTTTAAGAGTTAGAACAATTTTCGGTTGCATTCCTTCTTCACTTCAATCCTAGACTGATTTGTCGTCATTTAATGCAGCAACAAGTGCTCTCAATTCCCGTCACCAGCGCTAAATAATTTTGTTTCGCGGAACTAACTAACTCAGAACGAGATGATAAGAACAAAAATGAGATAAGTGGGGCGATCCCGTACAGCACAATCTCCACAACATGAATCTGCATTTACAATTTTTGTTGTATCATTTGGTATAATCTAGCTTGGGGTCTGGTATTCTTTCTTTAGCTAAGAACACCGGTTGCGCAGCGGCTATTTGCAAATGTGACACTACATGTGTTCAATGCTGGAAGAATCAAAGAGACAGCAAAGGGAATACGATAAAACCCCCTCTATTCATCGGAAAGCCGAAATGTCGCAAGTAAAGGGCAATACGACACACATGGAGACACTGTTCATGGTTACTTAGTCTTCAAAATTTTTCATATGGCTTTACAAATCTTCCTCTTTTGATGATTGTTTATTCTGCAAATGTTTTTATTTTCAAAATCGCTGCAGTATCTCCAATCCCCCAAGATCATTTGTGTAAAAGTCTCATGCATAAAATCTTCGCAGCATGTGTTGTAAAGAATTATTTTATTTTTGAACCTGTAGACTATACAGCCTCTACAGAACTCGGATAAACATTTCAATGCATAAGAAACCTTACTCTTTCTTTGAACAGAGATTGAAAAATCCCAAATCCAAGCTCAGATAAGACTTTTTTTTCAAATCCAAGCTCAGATAAGACTATTTCATGTTTTAGGGGATGACTAAGCACGAATGAGTGGGACCCAGTCTTCCAACCTTCCATGCAAAATTAGGCCTCGGGCAGAGTTCAAGCGATTTTATTGCCTCGCGATTCTCTAAACAAGACAACAGTTACGAGTCCATTGCATGTCGATCTTAGTCTTGTGGAAAAACTATCACAACTGAAATGCAAGATGGTCGACACGTAATGGACTCGTAATTGTTGTCCTGTTGGAGAGTCGCGAGGCAATGAAACCCCTGAACTCCGCCGAGGCCTTACACAATTTACTGTTTTTCCTTTCATTTAGATACAGTTAATGAACTTCACTCTCTTTCATCAGTTAAGTATGTAGATTTTCATTCTCTGCAAGGACCGGCATTGACAATGTGGCATATAGCTAGAAGACCGCTGTGTTCTTGCAAACCTTCGATGCTATTGTGATTGGTGCAGGAATGATCTTTTTATGAATTTTATGCCCTTACTCTGGAAATCCAAAAAAACGGTAAGATTCTCCAATATCTTTGAATTAATGGGAACAACTGTCATAGAAGGGTGTAAAGCGCATTAGGTTAATCCTGTGGCAACGTCGCAACAAATATATGGTAGATTGAGTAGCGTTAGTGAGATTGTTGGCAATGACGAAAACACCAAAAACTGATTTGGAAGACAATGTGCTCACAAACCATAAGCATCTTTTTAAGTTTTCAGAAGACTGTGTTACTTTTTAGGCCAAGAGGAGATGAAATGAGCATATTTGCAAATGAAATAAAAGTGGGGCACGTCTTTAATGCGCCTTGAAACGCTAATTCCCAATCCGTCTTCAATAATGCTGAGCGGTTCTCCAATGAAACGTTGTGACGCTTCTACCATCAAAATTCGCACTCAACTTCCCGATTTGATAAAAACACCATTACAAGCAAAAAATATTATGGTAGGCAAGAATAATCTGTTTGAATTGAGTTTGATTCAAAACTTCAGTTTCAACTATTTCAAGTGCGCCCACTTGCAAAATTAATGCGAAAAGAAGCTCATAATTTAGTTCAGAAAGTGTATCAGCAAAGCATCAGCGAAATTGGTTTGAGGCTAGCGTTTTGAAGCGCATTCTAGTAGATTGTGTTTCAGTAAGTATAAGCACGATCTCCAAGTATTTCGTTGCAAAATGTGGTGACTTCTGCCATGTTGAGCTTTACGCAGTCACACTTTTCTTTCAAGGAGAGGACTGAAGCATTCTTTCTGTAGCAGATGTTGACTGGGAATGTAAATCGAAAAACTCTCTCAAAATTATTGTGTTATTTACTTCCACTTTATAGAACACAAAAGGTTAGTTGAGGACAAAGTGCCTATTATCCTCAAAGCTATAAAGCTTATACTGTTGAAGCGTATGAATATTTAAACAAGGTTTGCTTAAAAAATTGACTTGAATATCAGACTCCGAAGTCTTTGCTTTTGAAACGTGAAGCGTTGACGCAGAACGTCTCGAAAGCAAAGTGGACTCTACAGCTTTTTGTGCAACCCATGTATATCGCGTTTAACACTATGCACACGAGATGGGGTGAACTTCAGCGGTCCCCAACTGTATACTTGCCCAACCTCGAATTGAAAAAAATTTGCTTTCCAAACGAGAAATCTGCTTCGAAAATCGTTTCGAATGACGGATTCGCCACCTCAGCTCTTCCGCTTTGAGTGAGCGTGACGTTCGTCGTGCGGGAGGGGCGGGCATGGATGGGGGTCCTCGTACATCTTCGCTATTCTGAAGCGATTTTCTCGCTTTAGAAGCTTCAAATTGCACCGCGGCTTGGGCATTGGCTTGATAGAAGGCCCTGCTTTCATATGCTGCTAAAAGCTCAACACCCTTGACTTAGCGTGGAAGGTGCCTTTAACCCCTCATTCTTCTCCAAAATTGTCGAGAAACGACTCGAACTGACTTAGAAGTGTTTTTTCTCTTGTCGTTGCATCATGTTCAAGAACACTTTTCACTGTTATTCGAAATGAAATGCCTTCAGCGTGTCATACATATATATAAATAAATAAATAAATAGATAAATAAATATACTTACTTACTTAGTTACTTAGATGGCCCGTCCTTACGTGGCGTGCGGGCCCCAGTACAGAAGTTTCCATTGATCCCTGTTAATCGCTTCGGACATCCACGATCTTCTTAACCGTCGTCGGTGGCTGCGTCCACGAGTTCCAGGGGCGAAAGTCGTATCCAGCTGATTTCTCAGCTGGTCCATTGTTCCACGAACACGTCTGCCAATCTCGTCGGTGGTCTTCTTCGAGGACGTTTGGCTTCGCGAGGAATCCACTCAGATGTTCTTAGTGTCCATCTATCGTTGTTCTTCTCACTATGTAACCGGCCCAACTGTGTTTCGCTTTCGCAGCGTATTCCGCCGGGTCACGAAGATGGGACATTCTTCTCATATCCGTGCTGCGAAGTCCGACTAGATGTTGCTTGTATCGGGTCATCTTCAGAAGACTATGCTCGAGCGCTCTGTGGGTGGTCCTTAAAGCCCCTAAAGCTTTCGACGTGGCTACGATGTCGGCCCAAGTTTCGGCTGCGTAGCAGAGCGCTGGGAGAACGGTTGAGTCGAACAGGAGGGCACGAAGCTCCGGGTCCGTCAGTGTGTCGGTGGCTTCCTTCAGAGGCCCGAAGGCGGCCCAGGCTGCTCTTCTTCTCCTGTTAAGTTCTTCCCTCAAGTATTCTCCATGTTCATCGAACGTCCGAGATACACATAAGAAGACGTCTTTATAATTGGGGTGCCTTCCAATCCATTTCTCAGATATTCTCAGCGTCCATCTGTCGTCTGTTCTTATCATAATGTGACCGGCCCATCGGTGTTTCGCTCTCGCAATGTATTCCGTTGGATCACGAAGACGGGACATTCTTCTCATATCCGTACTGGAAGTCCGACTAGATGTTGCTTTCGTCGGGTCATCTTTAGGAGACTGCGCTCGAGCGCTTTTTGGATGGTCCATAAAGCTTTCGACGTGGCTGCTGTGTCGGCCCAAGTCTCGGCTGCGTAACAGAGCGCCGGGAGAACGGTTGAGTCGAACAGGTGGGCACGAAGCTCCGGGTCCGTCAGTTGGTCGGTGGCTTCCTTCAGAGGCCCGAAAGCGGCCCAGGCTGCTTGTCTTCTCCTGTTAAGTTCTTTCCTCAAGTCCTTCTCCATGTTCATCGAACGTCCGAGATACACGTAAGAAGACGTCTCCATAATAGAAGTGCCTCCCAATTCTATTTCTGCATCTTCGCAGAGGGCGTTCTTCATAAACTGATTCTATATTCTATGATTTCATAAATTCTTCCGATTTATTGACAGACCGATCTTCTTCCCTACTTCGTTTAGTTCCTTCAGCATCGTCTCTGCTTCAGTGATACTGCTCGAGAAGAGAACGATGTCATCCGCAAAACGAAGGCTGGATAAAAATCTCCCATCAACTCGTATGCCTCTCTCTTCCCAGTCCAGTGACTTCATCACCCACTGCAAGGCCGCGGTGAACAGCTTCGGCGAAATAGTGTCGCCTTGTCGAACCCACTTTCCAATTGGAATGGTTA